GGATAGGATGCCCTCTTCTGGCCTCCATGGACACCTGCATGCACACTGTGCACATAAACTCATGAAGGCACTCATATACACACAAACTTTAAAATATTTAAAAAATTTATGTGTATATAATGTGTGTGCGTGTGTGTATGGAGGCTGGAGAACAACTCTGGATTGAGCCAGTTCTCACCTTCTTTACATAGATTCCAGTCATCAAACTCAGGTTACCAGGCTTGCATTGTCAGACTGCAAGTGCCTTTGCTCACTGAGCCTTCTTGCCTGCCTTTGTGACATGTTTTTAACATTAATTTTTTGTGTGGTACTCAGAATTGAACCCAGGGCTTCATATCTATTCTTAAACATATTTTAAAAGTTTAATGTGAGGGGATGGGGGGATGGTTAAGGGCACTGGCTGTTCTTACAGAAGACTTGGGTTTGAATTCCAGCACCCACATGGCAGCTAACAACCGTCTGTAACTCCAGTTCCAGGGGATCCGATGCCCTCTTCTGTCTTCCACGGGCACTGCATGACACAGATACACTTACACACATACAGGTGTAACACTCATACACATAAAAAAAAAAAAAAAAAGTTTAATATGAGCTGGGCATGGTGGCATATACCTTTAATCCCAGCACTCAGGAGATAGAGGTAGGTGGATCTCTGTGAGATCAAGGCCAGCCTGATCTACATAGCAAGTTGCAGGCCAGCTGAGTCTACAAGGAGACCCTGTCTCAAAAAAAAAAAAAAAGAAGTATAATGTTTAAAAATTCAAAGTATTAATGTCTTTAAAGTTTTTCCTTTCGTTTTCAAATCTGCTTAATGGCATTTGGTAAGTAAAAGCGCATTTATTAGTTGTTTAAAGGCAAGGATTAGGGACAAAAACCAGTACCAGTAGAACTCTTCAGAGACAACCATCTGGCACCACCTACTGGATAATTTTGGAAATTTTTGCCTGAACATAAACTTGCATTGCAGTTTATTCACCAAAACAATTGTGATAAAATACTGTCGAAATTACTGACATCGGATTCAGCTTCAGGCCAACCTATGCTGCTTGAAATCTGGCTGTTTAAGCCCACTATCACCTAAGGGGGGGCTTGCACTGGGTAACTTCCATTCATTATGAGTATATCAACCTTAGAAGGGTCCATGTGGTTTGCTTCAGGCAAGCCTCTGCTACCCAGTCTGTTGCAGCTTCCACATTGATCTCAGCACTTTATGAAGCCTGCAGACCAGGCCCCTTAGGTGCATTGCCTTCACTTCTGACTAGAAAGTGAGACTTTATTAAGTGCAACTTCCCAAACTCATCATCTGCCTCTGCCCCCCGAGTGCTGGGATTAGAGGCGTGTGCCACCAAGCCTGGATTCCTTCTAGTATCATACTAGTCTTTCCTCTTTGCCAGGCAAATATAAGTTATTGACAACTGTGGTAATATACTGGTCAAGTCCTGGTTCTCTACAAATACTTGGGACTCCCTAAATTGTCATCAGCTATAAACACAGCTCTTGCTGTTCCTCTGAGACCTACTCCATCTTGCTCCCCTCAGCTTAAGGTAGGGAGCATGTCAGTGAAGCAGCACCCCACATTCCATGCAGGACAGCAGGATGTGCTTCATCACTGGGATCTGAGACTGCACCAGCTTCTAGAATCTAGTATCATATGCCTCTCATTAAGGTGCTACTGTGTTTTATGTATTTATCTTTAGTGTGCTTTCCTAAAAAATTAGGAAAATACAGAAAAGCAAAGAGAAGCTTTCGAGTTTCCCATAGTCCACTGCCCCAAACAACTGAAAGGATGTATTGATGCCATCTTTTTCTACAGAACTGGAATAATGGACAGGCACAGGCTGACACCTCCCAGCCTAACTGAAGACTGGTGTGGCCTGCCTAAGTTCTGCCAAAATACTCAGTATAAGTCCAGCTCCCCAGAACCCTCCAGGCTGTCCTTTCCCTTTCTGCTGTTTGGATGCAGATAGCAGGCCTTCCTTCCAAACATGGAAATAAACTGTGGGATCCTCAAGGGCTAGATGGGGGAGGGCCACTCTCCCCATCTCTTCACCCATTCCAGAACTGTTACATGATGCAGAGATAATTGTCTGAAGGGCTGGAAAGACTGGATGAAGGCAGCTGTGATGACATGGGAGCCAAACTTCAATAGCAGCACTCACCCAGGCACATTCCGACACACTGCCATTCAGTCCTGTATTTTGTTTTCATGCAGGCAAGAATTTGCATGTGTGCCCTTGTTCATACTTACATGCACATGCACTTTTTTTCTGTTATCATAAATTCTTCCTCATAATTCAGTGGTCGCACACAACTCTATGCATAAAGTAGCCAGTTCATAATCCACTAAGCATTCTACTCCAGTGCTGACATTTGGTTTGTCTCTATCTTCAGTGCTGTAGTAAGCTTTCTTTTCCGTAGAAACCTTGTTCTATATTTTGAAGACATCAAGCGAAATGACAAAGGTCTTAAACACTGCTGAACTTTTCACAAAGACTGAATGACCATATTATATTAACAAATGTTTCATTGCATCAGACAGAGCAGAGGGATTTTACATGCACACACACACAAAACATACACACACATGAAGAGTATAAATTTAGGTAAACTTGATTTTTTAAAAATGTCCCTATTTTTTCTTATGCTTTCTTTGTCACTATTGAGGCTGAACATTTTTCAGAGTTGGTATCTGTACTTCCTTTTTGAAGAACTTTATGTTCTGTCATCCACTGTAGTCTGTTTCCTATAGATTTTCATAGTGTAGCATTAACAGATAATCTCAAAAATCAATCTCCAAAATTTCAGAAAGCAATTTATTAAAAGAATAAATATTAAGGCACAAAAATTACAAATTTTCAAATAAGTCCTTCAAATTGCTATGTCCTAGACTCAAAGAAATTTCTTCCAAATTATAGATTTAACCATTTTAAATAAAAAATACATTTTAATCCCTAAACTTCCTCCCCAGAGAAATTAATGTTTTCCTAGTTCTAACAAAGTTTCTTAATGCAGTGTTAATTCCTTTCTTACAATATACACTTCCTTAAAAATCTAGTTTTGTCACTTATATACATTTGGTATGTTCAGAACTTTATATGTTAAACTTCTTATAGATATAAGGCTTGGTGTTTCATATTGCTTACTGCATGCTGTCAATCATACAAAGACACAAGTGTCTGAATGAGAGACATAAATCTAGCATTATGTCTCTCAACTTTAGTCATACATAGCCAGGGCAACAGCCCCAAATCTCTTTCAAACAGGATATAAAAATGAACTTCCTATGTACATTAAAAAATTTTAGTCTTGATATTACAGTAGTCTAAACATGATGTACCATAATACAGAGGGAAAGGTGGTTCTCTCTACAGGATATGAAAGATCTGAACTTTTATTTTAACACAGGCAAAGCATGGAGCACCCTGTCATCTCTCATGCTTGAAATAGTCACCTACTTTTTCTTATTTATTGAAATATACTAACTACCCTTGAAGGTAGATTATTTTAAAATTAACCTAATTTAAATAATGAAAAATTTCTCATGAGCAAACTTCATATATCATATAAGTCTAACATGGACTATTTAATAATGCAAACATTTTGCCCAGAACTGGAGCCTCATCCTCAGTACCCTCAGTTAACAGGTAGGCCTATCCAACAGCATCCGGAACAGAAGCTGGCAGAGCACATGGAAAGCCCTATGTCCACTGGGGATGCCAGGCAGATGAGGGGTAGGAGACTGAGAGCTGCTAGTGGCCCTGGGTGGCCACCCTTTCACTAGTGAGCTCTAGTGATGGTGCAGGAGCACATGCTGGGGTTAAGAAGCATAAAGCATGTGGCATAATTGAAAAATAACCTGAAAATGACAGATACCATACACACCCTTCTAAAAACACTTCTAAGGAGGTTCTGAAGAGGAAACCCTACTTTCTCCAGATGGAAAGAAGTTGCCATTTCAGCCTGGAGTTATGCTACAGAGAAGCAATGGCTATCTTCCCTAAACACTCCTAAGGTGGCAGCAGAGGCACTTCCCCGGTAGTCAACTCCCCACTCACACCACTGTGCAGCACCCACTGGCTGCAAGCCCAGGGCTCTGTATTCAGTATTTAGCTACAGGCATGAGGAGTGAGGGTCAACTACCTCATCCTATGAAGGTAGGGCATTAGATAAAAATGTGAAGGGGACCATGGTGGTGCATGCCTGTAATCTCAGCACTCAGGAGGTAGAGGCGAGAGGATATGACTCCAAGGCCAGCATGGGCTACAGAGTGACACCTGAAAAAAAAGTCACCTCCAGTTCTGGAACAACTGGGTTAACAGGTAAACTACACCAAAACAAAAATGGCCAACATGCTGGGAAGCACAGAGGATGGGAGCCCATCACTGCAGCAGACGCCAAAGGAAGGAGTGGACCACAGTGGCTCCTGGAGAGTCAGAAAGCATGGCTCTTGGGGGCCAGCCTTTCTCCACCAGGTCTGCCAGCACCATAGGTTTTCCAAATGTTCACTATTGAAAACACACTGGCAAACATCTTTCTGGAGATATTACTATTAGAGATAGCTCTCTACTAAGACCTCTTAAATAAGTAAGCAAGAAATAAATCGAGAAAGTAAGTGTTTGAAAGAAAAGTCTTTGTTTTGTGGCTTCATGATAAAAATCATAACCATTAGGCTGTAGTTAAGTGTTCCTCCTGGTTTGGATTTTCATGTTTTCTCAAACTGAAGTCATTCTCAATTCACAGGGTGAAGTCCTTAAGAGAGGACCATCAAGACTACATTTCACTACTACACTAAATGTCTGCTAGCCTGCTATCTTTGGTCAGGAGAGAAAGCATTCACATTTTCATCACACTACATTCAAGTGCCTTTAAGTCTAGAATATTGTCTATATAAAAACTTAGAACAAAAACTTTCAAAATTCTATTATTACAAACATAAAATTTAAGAAAATAAAGGGTAAAACATGGTTGAAGGCTGATTAATTACAAGCTATGATGCACGGTGTAGTTAAATATGCTTTTATTACGAAACGGAAAATGCCAAGAGCATGTAAACGACGCAGTTCTAGTTCCCACAAGGCTCTCGAGGAAAGGGTCTCCCAGATGGCTGGGTAGAAAGTGCTGTGGGGGAGCCATGTGGCCAGGGGTCACAGCAGAATCAGCAGCAGCACACATACCTATGGCCTGAAGGAGGGAAGGGACAGTAGTAGAGCAAATCTTTGGAAGTGTCTGTCCCTCAAGGCTTCTCTCTTTGTGCACCTGTGTTCCCCTGAGCTCAGAGAAGACCTAACTCCATGACTTGCTGTGCATGTGGAATTTACAAACAAGAGCTTTATGCAGACTGGAAGAGGCAAAATAAAACACAAACACACATTCCAACAGTAAATCACCTCAGTATAAAAGTCCAAGAAAATAATCACTGAGAGGATGGAGACTACTATTCTAGCCTTCGAAGAACCATATCGCATGGGCAGGTGGAAAGGAGTGTTCAAGGGGTCTTCATATAGACATTTTCTTTTTTAAGAAAATCTTCCAGAGTGGTCCTATATTCCAGAGAAGAGAGAGCCCAAATCCATATGCCTGCTGCTGTCACCAAACAGGCATTTGTGCACACATAGTTTTCATAACACTTCTTAGATTATTTCCAAATTTAGGCAACTTAATGACAATTAAACTGACATTTAAAGTCAGCTTGGTGAGGGGCAGGGCCCTCCCACCACCTGAATTCTTCATTTAAATACAAAGATTTCCAAGACAACAAAATAAAAACTTGCTTTGTTAAATCACAACAAAGCTGTCTTTCAGTCTTGATAGACAGTCCTTCACCATTAATTTGATTTTCAAGTTCCCATCACATTATCTTTTCTGAAGAGAACATTTTCTCAGCGATTTCAGATCTGGTCATAATTTCCTGGGGGAAAGGATAAGTGTCAAAATGGTGATGTGGTTCCAGACC